AAAAACAATGACAGAGCTTTTGTCCGTGTTTACAAACTCAATTGTAAAGTCATAATAACAATAATACCATTAATTAATAAACAGATGAAATAATATTGATTACAAAGCCCTAGATACTAGTATTTCTATTTCTTATTTATTTTTTATTTCTTCATTTTTATTCTAATTATTTTTTTTTCAATTTAAAAAAAATTGGAATTAAAAGATTTGAAAAACTTACAGACACATATCATTGTATATTTTTGCTATTTGAAATACAACCATCTTCCATTATGAACATCAAATTGGGAATTTGAAAATACTAAAATAAAAAAAAACTTAACAATGTTTAAGGAAATCTTAGCTTCCATATTACCCTGTACTTGTATTCATTCGAGTGAAAAATATGTCAGTGTGAAACAGGAAAATTATGTTTGGATTGAGAAACGTAGTAGCAAAAAAGAGAGAAAAAAGCTAAATTTCACAATAGACATACGGTAAGTATAATACCTCTTTTTGTAGGGTTTTGAGTTTATTTTTCACTTTTACAAAGTAAGTATATTCCGAAAATAAGAAAAGCTTGTCTAGAGAAATTCAACAGTAGGTAGAAAAATTAATTTTAAAATTTCTTTTAATCTTCGTTCATCCTGCTTGATGTTACAAAATATTGGAATATGGAGCAGTGGTCAATATAAAAAAAAATATAAACAATATTTGTTTGTTTTTAATTTGTTGGTTTTGTTGTCACCGTTTAACTTCCCTCTCGAGGATATTTTATTCATATGGAGAGACAACCCCTGCCGGTGAAGTGCTTCAAACTTTGACGTATATTGGCCATTAAGTAACAAGGGATCTATTTTGTGCCAGCACCTTCTGCAAGACTGGATTTTGGTTTACAAGGTTTAATCCGAATGACCACTCTACACGTCCCACAGTGGGATTCGACCAAGCGACGTAAGGATCAAATTCTGACTTTGCGCTTCTAGAGCAGACGGTCTATCCTCTGTGCCACGTGCACACAGACCTAAATAGGACCCTTGAAATTTGAGATGTGGAGCCAGATGCCTAGGAAGGGAGAGCTTCACTTATCGACCAGTCACACCTGTTTTGAGAAAAAGTGTAATGATCTGGTAGTTGAAAACCCGGTTGTCATTTCTAGTTTAAAAACAAAGCACTAACGATTTGTATAAATCTGTCACTCAAAAAAGGAATCCGTGATAAGATCATGAGAAATCTTTTCTCTGCTTTAACTGATTGACTGATTGATTGATAGTATATATTTTAACTTCCGTCTCGAGAATTTTTCACTCATATGTAGACTCTACCTCTTGCCGGTGGAGGGCTGCAAATTTTGTCCTGTACTCGGCACTTAGGGTCCTTGAGTGGGGAGGGAACTTTTTCGTGCCAGCACCCACTGCGACACGGGACATTGGTTTATACTGTCTCATACGGAGAACTGGTTTCCACCTTGCACTGTGGGATTCGAACACACGACGTAATTATTGACTCCTTACTTCGCGACTCTAGAGCAGACGATCTAACCACTACGCCACGTAGCCGACCGGTTTAATTGAAATTAACTAATTAATAAATACTATCATACTCTTGAATAATAGATAGATTGGATGATATTAACACCTCATGTTACTACATACATTACAATGTAAAAAAAGAAAATCGATAGTGAAAAAGCTGAAATCATCTAGTTTTTTCTACATTGCTTTGTCATTATCACCTATAGTCAGTTAACCATCGAAATTTAAAAGAAATACTGTGAAATCACAAATTTTCGTGGGGGTTTAATTTTCGTTGTTTTCGAGGTATGATAAGACTTACGAATTCATGTCCACCACGAAATGTAAAATGTTACATACATAAGTACTAATTAATTGTTGATACACGAAATCAAATCCCCACGAACCAAGAGATTTTCCTCAAACCACGAAACTTTGACCCCACGAAAATATGTGATTTTACAGTATGGATCTTGTTACAAGAAAGTATTAAGAAACCCACAAACTAGATTTTTAATAACAGGGAAGATCACTGGAAAACTGTAAAAACAGGACTTATTCAATGTTATAAAATTCTATAAATACCAGAGTTGAGGTTAACTACTTTGAACAATTATGACTTACTTACAAATATATATTTTTTTTTCAATTACTTGCAATTACAATTAAATTGATTTTATGAACCCGGATTTATAGATCCGGGGCGTATATTGTTTTTGTCCTGTCTGACTGTTTGTCTGAATGTCTGTTTGTTTGTTAGTCTGTTTGTCTGCTAACTTCAACCTTCGCCATAACTTTTGAACGATAAAAGATAGAGACTTCATTTATGATATGCATACTCCAAAATTTAAGCAACTTCAATGGACTTGTGAAATTGACTGTAAAATTTATGCTAAAAATAGTTCTTTCGTACATTTGCCATATTTTTGGAACCACAAGACATAGAGACTCATGTAAACATGATTAATTTATGATTGCGTACATATTCATTGTAATACTTGATCAGAAGCGGGGTCTCTCTCTCTTTCTCTTTCTCATCTTGCTATTTAAAATGAGCGTGATATTATCTAGCAATTGACGATCGATAAAAAACATCAAAACTTCAAATTCAAACGAAACAATTAACCATTTAATTGCGATTTATTGTATCTGTAATAATAATGAAAACATCAATAAATTGCGAAAGATCTAAATGTTTCCGTCTTTAGCAAGAAAAAAAAGAAAGAAAGCCTTAAACATAAAAGGCCAGGGTAACCTCTTATACAAAAATTGTGTCTATTTTCTGACACTTAAAAATTGTTTAATATGTCCGTCTCCGATTGTTGATATTCGTATTTTTCAAATAATTGAAACATAATGAATGAGAACGGCAGTCATTGTGTAGTCACCTCTCTAAACAAACAAGAACAATATAGTAAAAGTGACTCTTAACGTGAAAGATGGGAGGGATATGTTTCATTTCTTAAGTAGAAAAAAAATAAACACAAAATTTGTTAAGAACTAGAGAGCTTAAATGTTTCCTTCTTTACTTGTTAATATTTTTTATTATAAAAATACCCAGGTAATAATAAAAATGTTTAAGTATTATGTCTCGAAAAAGCAGAATCAAAAAGGTAAAAAAAATACAACTGCACATCAATATTGACAATAGTATTCATTCACGTCATTAACCGTCGGGTGGCGCTGCGGTATTAGAGGTGGTTACGCAAACGTTTGAATTTGTCAAACGCTTGACTGAGTGTAAACAAATGGTAGCGTGGCGAGACACTGTGGTTTCTCCTGGACATATACCTCCAAATTAATTAATTTGTAACGAATGCCAACTCTCTGTGGTGTGCAAGGATGTCGTAGAGGTCGTGGACACTCATTATTTTCAGATCTAGACATTTGTTTGAGACGAAAAGTGACGCTAAATCGGTCATGAAGATGATCAGCTGATTATGAAAGTTTGGTAAACACGATGTCGCTTGTCACCAGAATTTCAGAGTTGGCGATACCAAGGATTAGATTTTTGGTAAAATATTGATTTTGATTAATTTTTATTAGTATCTTACGAAGTATATGCCATTAAATCATATAGATTTAACAAGAAAAATGAGTTACTATATACAGTATAAAACACATTGACTTGGTGGATTTTAACTTTGTCTTAAATTGAAAAAAAGTGAACTCCCTCTTTATTTTTTTTCCGTCAAAAGACATTTGAATTATTTATATTAACAGCGTCTTAATAGCTTGACAAATGGCAGTTTTATTTAATATGTTATTTCAAAAGTTTGAAATCTAATTAAAATGTTTAAAGCTTTTGTTGCTTTGTGATTTTGTTGTGATACAGACAGACGCAGCACTGGTAAATGTAATAGGATTAAATCTGATGAATCTAATGTACAGTGGCAGTTTTCTTTTTAAAATGTACAAAAAGAGTGTATGATATGCTTATGTCCCCATAGAATTAACTTGATTTGTTAGCAAATGGAATAAGTACTGTAATTTATAATTTAATATCAAAGTTCAATGTTAAATTTTATTATACATTTTAAATTTCAACACCAGAAATAATGACTCAGAAATATTTTCCTCTGCTTTATTAGTATGAGTAGGGTCTTTGATTTTCCCTTGGTTAATATTGATTATTTTATATAATATTCTACTTTAACTCAAAACAATTACAAAACAAAAATAATATTTGCAAAATTCCTTGTTTACAGGAGGTAAAAGTAGACTAAAGAAGGATGAAGTAAACTTGACATCCAGTTTTGGACTTTAAAACTCAAGCAATACATGTCCTACAGTTCCGTGGCTGCAGTCAAGACAAGAAGAAGGTATAAAGACTGAACTGTTCTTCACAAGTTGTGAACTAAAATGTGCATCATGAAGTTTAGACCAATACCCCAATGATGACTAGCAGTCACTGTGATGTTTCTTTAAGATCAGCCATATTCTTTGACAAAGAGATGAAAAATTCAGTGCAAGCATTAAGCTGTTAATCTTTTTCATATTGGTACATATTATAGCTATTAGCATGATTAAGTTATTAAGTGAGATGTGCTTAGAAATAAAAGATGTACAACTATTACTTTTTAAATTTTAAAACAGAAGTACATAGTTTTAAGAATTTTTGACACATGTTTAATTTCTAGAAAAAATTAAAAAAAAAATCTTTTTGCTTGCTTTGAAAAAGAATTAAAAATGATAGTACATGTATTATGAATTCTGTGGAATCTTTTTAGTCATGTTAATTTGTGGGGTTCAATGTTCATGGACAAGAAAAATTGTTCATGGGTATGTAATTGTGTGGATTTTAACTCATTGATAATGTACATTCAATCAATATGTTAACAAAATCCATGGGCAAGAGAGACTCGTCAAATCCACGAACATTGGTTTACAAGAACATTGTACCTGCATGCTCAAATTTAAGTATGAAAGGAATAAACATGTATAAATATTTAATACAATCTTTATTGTTTTATTTATTAACAGCCATGAATAAAAGAAGCAAAATCCTTAACAGAGAAAAGTTCAAGCTATGGAAAGATACTGTACATGTACATAATTATTTTCAAAATTTAGCACAATCAATGAATATAGAGTTGTTGGCATAATCATGAATAAGCGCTACAAATATTTGTGTCTTATATTCTATCTATAAATGAATTCTTAGTGTTTTCATGAATATTAGCACATCCTCTTCTGTGCAAAAAGCAGCTAAAATATGAAACCCGCTATTTTAACTACACATACAGTAAATTCCTTTCAATGTCAATTTTTGTACCAAAAAAATTAAAATGTTAAGTCTGTGCATTCTTTCATTTCACAAATTATTTTCTCTTGCCAGGGATTGTTTGAGTACATCAGCTTCTTTTCCCTTTCAGTTTTTGGCGGAATCCCTTCAAATAAGAATGAGTAGCAATTATTAGTAAAAGAGTAATAGCATTATCACGACTGTACTTGTTTTTTGGTAAAATAAACTGTCTTTAAAATATTTTTAACTTATAAATAAAATTGATATACTTTTCAAATTAAAATGGAATAATTAGTAATGTAATTGTAAGTTTGTGAAAAGCCTGAAGATACTACATACAAGATTATTGTAGTTCATCTTTTAGAGAATTTACCAAGCATGAGCATAACTAGTCTGTGTGTGTACAGGCCGAATGTTGCCCCATATTTCCAGCAGAACATTTTCTCTGTGAATGTATAGGACTGCCAAACATCTCAACACTTTGTCTTAAGTTGTAATACACCTAGTGATAATAAAAGGAAATACATTTTTTTAAGAATTAAAATTGGAAGCATTGAAGTAATGCTTAGGTATAAATTATGAGTACCTTCTATCATTTAAAAAACACAAATGCGATTACATACCAGTTCTTTTTTTTCCCTGGCAGCACTGACAATAGGATGGATGTCATTTCATGAGAATGGGGAAAAACAGAATTTTTATGTTACATGTACCATCCAGCCATAATAAACCTCCCTGTAAGCTTTGACATCTTATTTTACCTGCTGATCTCCTAAATAAAATAAAATGAAAAATATATATTCTTAAATAATTAAAAAATAACCCAATCTACTCAGTATAGGTTCTTGTTTAGAAACAAATATAAAGTCAGTATGTAAGTGAGGTCTATCCATAGTCCTGATAATACTTTTTTTTTCAGAGGACTGTAAAATTATATGTTTTTTGTATTTAGTTGTACAATAACAGCTACTACATGTATATATGCCTTTTATTTATATTTACATGCAGCAGGTTTTATTTAATTACTGTGTATATCTTTTCGACTTAATGAAATTGTAAATGTAAACTAAGTTGTTGAGGGTCACATTATAGAAACACAAATACCGGTACTGTATAAAATGGACCTAGCAAATTATAACTCTAAAATATTTGTACTCATTTTTACCTTTATTATATCAAAGGTGCTATGTTCTAAGTATACATGTAGCTACTGACTATGAAAAAAATATGTACAGAACAAATAAATTTCAAATTATACATATGCACTATAAAGTATAGGGGCACATATTAAATCTATGTTTGTTTGTTGTTTAATTTCCCTCTTAAGATTTTTTACTCATATGGAGACACCATCATTTGCTGACGGCGGACTGCAAATATACCTATTCTCGGCACTGTGGGCCATTGAGCAGTGATGGATCTTTTTTGTGCAAACAGGACCATGGTTTATACGGTCTCATCTCTCCACGTAACACGTACAGTGGATTTGAACCTTCGACATTAGGTTCAGCTCTTAGATTTGGCGACTGTGGACAGGGCATACACTCTAACCACTGTGAAATATGAGCGACTTGCATAAAAGAAACATAGGTAATCAAAGATTACGAAGCTCACCTCGACGAATGTTATCAGTTTATGTAATGGAAATCTCACATCATATTTTTCTTAATATTTAGTATTCATCCCAACAACAATATTCTTGCAAGTTGTGTTTAACCCCTTACATGGCATATACACATTTCTATGCGTGTAGCGTGAAAAACATGTAAAGTGTTGACAAATATTCATAACTTTGTTAATACTGCAGATATCAAGGACTTGATCTGTTTCCAAAATTTTAACCTGGTCTCTTGTATGGAAAATATAGGTCAGATCCAGCATCCGAAGCAGGTCTGATAGTGTCCATCCTTAGATGCATCATCCATGCAAGTTTGGTTCAGGTAGAACTTATAGTTACTTGGGCAGTGATTGGGAAGGGCCTGCGCAACGCGCCATAGTCGCATTCAAGTGAAAAATGGCGCATCAAATCATCCAATGTTGGCGCCAAGTTGTGCATTCAATTTTTAGCGATCTTATTTTGAAATATTTTGTGTATGACTAAATATCTTCTTTTACTTTCGTTTTAAATGCACTCAATTATAGAACAACAAATCTCATTGGTGGAATCCCGTAAAAAACTACTTCCGGTTTGACGAAGCTCGTAGATTAGGTACATTACGACATTTATTTATAGGATAATGTGAATATCAATATAAGTTTAACGTAAAATACGGGTAAATTATATTATGAAAGTTGTCCTTTAAATTTGCAGCATTGCATGTGTTCAAAATTAGATTCCATTCATTAAAACATGTTTTCTTTCATGATTTACATTTGTTTGTCATTTTGTTGTTTCTGAAAATGGCCCCTCATATTGTATTGATGGCCCATTTATTTTTAAAATGGCCCATCAAAAATGTTGACAGTTGCGCCATAGTCCCATTGACCATTTTGGCCTTCCTAATCACTGCTTGGGAATGAAAATGTAGGTCAGATCCAGCATCCGAAGCAAGTCTGGTAGTGTCCATCCCTAGATACATCATTCATGCAAGTTTGATTTAGCTAGGGCCTATAGTTACTTGGGAATGAAAATGTAAGTCAGATCCAGCATCTGAAGCAAGTCTGGTAGTGTCCATCCCTAGATACATCATCCATGCAAATTTGGTTTAGCTAGGGCCTATAGTTACTTGGGAATGAAAATGTAGGTCAGATCCAGCATCCGAAGCAAATCTGGTAGTGTCCATCCCTAGATACATCATCAATGCAAGTTTGGTTCAGGTAGGGCTTATAGTTACATGGGAATGAAAATGTAGGTCAGATCCAGCATCCGAAGCTAGTCTGGTGGTGTCCATCCCTAGATACATCATCCATGCTAGTTTAGTCCAAAAGGGCTTCTAGTTACTTGGGAATGAAAATGTAGGTCAGATCCAGCATTCGAAACTAGTTTGGAAGTGTCCATCCCTAGATACATCATCAATACAACTTTGGTTCAGGTAGGGCTTATAGTTACTTGGGAATGAAAATGTAGGTCAGATCCAGCATAGGAAGCTAGTCTGGTAGTGTCCATCCCTAGATGCATCATCTATGCAAGTTTGGTCCAAATAAGGCTTATAGTTTCTGTGGAATGGACCTGCTCCAAAAACTTTAACCTAGTCACTCATCTGGAAAATGTAGGTCAGATCCAGCATCCGAAGCAAGTCTGGTAGTGTACATCCGTAGATGCATCATCCATGCAAGTTTGGTCCGGGTAGGTCTTATAATTCCTTGGGAATGGACCTGCTCCAAAAACTTTAACCTGCTCCAAAAACTTTAACCTGGGTAATCATCTAGAAAATGTAGGTCAGATCCAGCATCCGAAGCAAGTCTGGTAGTGTACATCCCTAGATGTATCATCCATGCAAGTTTGGTTCAGGTAGGGCTTATAGTTACTTGGGAATGGACTTGCTCCTAAAACTTTAACCTGGGACGCCGACGCTAACGCCGACACCGACGCCGACACCGACACCGACGCCGACGCCGGGGGTATAGCATAAGCTCATCTCGACTTCGTCGAGGTGAGCTAAAAAGTACCAGTCTCATTTTTTTTTATTTAAAAAACAAACAATATGAGGCTGATCAGAAATCAGTTATCTTTATCCAAGACCTGCAAAGTGACCCGCATTCGGTGGGTCACACCCGCAAAATTGACCTCTCACCCCCCACTCATAATGACCCGCGGCGTGGCATTGTTTTCACCCGCAAAATCGATCATCCAAATTTTTTGACCCAATATTAATTAAGCATGTTTGTCTAACAAGAAAGATCTGAAAATTCATCTTAAAATTTCCGATTTGTGTTTTATAAATCAGGATATGAACATCTTGTTTATTCAATGCACACAGATTAGTATCTTTGTTTGCCGAGGTGTCAAAAAAATGTTAATTAGCCACAGGAAATCACTTCACGCTTGATCGCAGATTGACACAGCTGTACAGGTAATATGGCTGGAGCATTTAGGGGATTATACGTAACCATTTGAAGGGGTATATGCATGGTGAACCACATAGATTTAGAGGTCAATTAAATATCATTTTATTAAAAACAGAAATTAATTAATTAAATACAATGATATGATAAAAATTGGGATCGTTTTTTAAAAACGAAAGTAAAAAAACGAAACTGCAAAGCATGACTGATTAACAGCTGATTTTATCAGCTCTCATATATTGAAATTATTGTTAAGTGTAGTGGTTAAAAGAAAATGATATTAATTAAGATAAAGCAAAAGAGTCTAAACTGAAGAATATTGAATTTCTCCCCCTTCCAAAATGTAGTATTGTACGTTGTGTTTCTTTGTTAATGGCTATGACAAGGGAATACCCACTTGTCAGTCACACCATGACTCTAATGATTTTAAGTTTTTGTTTGGGGTGTTAGGTATCCTTCATAATTTATTTTGTAGTATTTGATTCATTTGATTTCTTTGTATGTGTTTTAAAATTAATAATAGGAAATTAGATGGCACATATATTTCTTACCACCACCCCCTGCAGCAGCAATTTTTCAATATTAATCTTTCAATTTAAATGTCTAATTACAATTTTCTGATTCTGTAATATGTTGAAAATTAATTATTGAAGAATCTAACAAATGTTTCCCAGAAACTTTTTAAATTTTTAAAACTTTGCAAAAATTGTATTGAACTAAAAGTATCTGCATGAATCTTACTATCAATCTGAAAATGTTCTTATACAAGCAATTTTAAGTAACCTGTCCTAAGAAAAAAAATTAAGTCTGCAATAAAATATCACAATATACATGCATGTGTTTGACTGTTTGAATTGATGCCTAAAAATTTGTTACTCAAACCTCAACAAAAATGTCGCCGCGCGCTATGACCCAACATTTCAATTCTGAATGTTGGGTCATGACCCCCCACAGCATCAATTTTGGTTGGCAGGTCTGTTATCCAGTATCAATTAATGGCCACTTAATCTATCTCTGTGTAGGATCTGGAGAGTCTTTTGGTGAGGGTTGAAATATAATGTTTGTGTTTGTTCCAGTTTTGTTTATTATGATTGTTTTTTGTAATCTGTTCAAATAAAATGAATGCTTAGTTTGTATTTGCCTTAGAATGAATATTACGTTGCACTTAATTGCCCTTGATGATCATTTGGGACGTTGCTCTTTTAAACAACAACAACGAAATGCAACAGTATGTAACCAGTGTAGACCTACATAACCTAGCTGTGCGATGATTGTCATGTAAAAAGGAATAAATAACAAAATATAGCCATAAGCATTCATATCATATACTAATTACATTTAAATCTAGTGTTTGTGTAAGTGGTAAAGATGACAATACATCCGACAATCTACAAAAATGTCGATTGTAAACACAATGCTTTGTCGTTGTACTATCTTCGTCATACAGGCATGTTACACATGTTACACTCGATAATTCTTAGAAGGTTTCCATAGATGTATATTATTTACAAAAAATAATTACCTAAGATTCGGATAAACCTTTCTCCCGGTTGCGACAGCTCGATTAAGGATCGATTCAGCCCCTCCGTTTAGCATGGTTTAGCTCGAAGTTCGAGAACACGTCCATTTGTTTACATTGTTACAAGCGCCTCGGTGATTAAAGCGTTTACGTAACCACCTCTAGTACACCAGCGACACCTGACGTCATAAATATGACGAATGAGTCCTATTAATTCACAGTTATCCATGAAAAGTTAGCAAATCCAACACAGGCCGAAAAAAATACACAAGAACAATAACAGAGCTTCTCTAGATCTCCATGTTTACAAACACAATTGTATGGTGAAAGGACAAGATAGGGTAAGAACAGTATTTGGCCCCCGATTTGGGGTGTCTTTCAGAATGATGCAACAGTTTATCCATGAAAACCTGTTTTCACCCCTGCCACATAATGAGTGTTGGTTTTAAGATTTAGGAAATACAGGGGTCACAGTGAGGTCAGGAAATAGGTCAATTTTCGAAATTTCTCATTTTTATGTAATTTTTCACTAATTTTACAGCACATTTTCTTTCGGAAAACATAGAGCACACGCTTGCCTATCTACTAAATTTATATATTTTATACACTGATATCAGATGCAGTATATATGTAAAAATCTAAGATAGGCAAGCGTGTGCTCTATGTTTTCCAAAGAGAAATGTATCCCAAATATGATGAAATTCCAAGAATTGAGGAAATTCGGGAAAATGTCCTATTTCTGCACCCTCTAGTGGAAGCCATGTAGGCTTTGAATCAAAATAAGTGCTTGTCTTGAAGTAAGCATCATTTTAACTTCTTAACTACAAAATATCACAGTTTTACCAGTGTTCTGATTTTTATATCAAATAAGGGGCCAGATTCGGCTGCTACCCTATCTTGTCCTTTATTAAGAAAGTTTTATAACAATAATATATGTAATACTAGAAACGATCTCGTTGCGAGCAACGAGAGGTCTTCCGTCCGATTCAGGAAAAAAATCTCGTAAAATCGAGCTGAAAAGTGATTCAAAATTTTGGTCGCAAAGGGGATTGAACCCATGTCGCCTTTTTCTGTTTTATCCCCAACGCGCAAACCATTAAGCTTTTGGAAGTACTGCTCTAAATGTACTTGTGTGTATACTTTTGCAACCGTACACTTGTCTAAGAATCATAAAAGGCGGGTCACTATTAATAATTTGCGCCAAACGCCACGAGTAAATATTCGCGCATTTTCTTTGTACTAATCTATTAAATATGTCTGATAGTTTCAATGAAGTAAAATAAATAAAACGTTCTTATCGCCTTCATTTTATTTCGACGTTTAAAAGTCATTGTAAACATTACATATATCGTATCTAGCCCAGTTAACTAAAGTAGTGAAATGGTAATTAAGTGTTAAGATTGACACTGAACTGCAACGTACTACAACGTGAAAGTCCAAGTAAATTTTTTACATTTCATGCATTCTTATGTCGGAATAGTTTAATCAAACGCTCAGCTGCCTCCATAAACCCCAATTGCGAAATTGCGAAATGGCGGAATTGACAAAGACAGCCGCCATCTTGGGTCCGCTTCAGATTTTCAAATATTAATATATAGAATTCAGATAAGCCAATTTTCAAACAACTTATATAGTAAGCATCAAATTGTTAAGATGAATACTTTTGCTTAGTAATATATAACAAAATATTGATCATAAGAGAGTTATAGATAAGAGACTTTTGGCCCCTCTGAGCCCCTAATTTGAAGGGTCAGCCCTATTTTTTGACATCAAATGAAAGGTCTTGCGATGTTGCACATTTTGTCTTCAATATGCTTTAACAAATTATGAACAGGTGTGAAGATATGAGACAAAATGCGTCAAATTTTGTGAGATATTTCTGAGACATTTTTTCGGACCTACCGAACTTCGGTGCCTTTTGCGCTAGAAAGATTTGAAGACCCAATTACAACTCACCAAACCTTCCTCTATTTTCCCTGAAAATCTTAAGTCCATATCTTAAGTCCTTTCGGAGGAGTTTCCCGGACAAGCCGACCCTCTGAAAATCAAAAAATTGTCCATATCTCACGACCGGAAGTGAGATAATCAAAAAGGAAAAAAACATATCAAGATCAATTGAATATCTTTCAGATCTGAAAGTTTGGTTTAAATCGGACGAGCCATCTCTGAGAAATCGCTTGCACAAAATCGGTTGGAAGAAAAATAATAATAGGGAAAAAGAAACCGAAGAATAACAAGAAGGTCTTCCGTTGGAGACGGAAGACCTTAATTAATCAATTAGCATAAAAAGAAATGATTATACATATCAGGGTACTAATAAAATTAAAGTTAACATCAGGAAACTTCTTTTTTACAATTACAAAATAAAACTTTGCCTTTTTAAGTCACTGGGGGTAAAATATGTTTCAAAGAAACGTAAACTGTTTTCATATGAATGTCATTTCGCTAAATACATCAATGTCCGACCTTGACCTTTTCAACTTTTTAGGTCTTTTAAGATCAGGTGATTAATCTTATTCGTTTCTTTTTCCGAATTAGCTTTTTTGTTTTTTGCTCATTTTAATTTAAATTTCGTATTTATTTGATCTATTTTTTGCTCATTTTAATTTCAATTATTTGTCTTTTCATATTGAAACAAATTTTCAGAATTTAAAAAAATAAAAATTTACAAACTCTTTTTATTTAAATTAAAATCTTCCATATTAAATATCGAGATTGAGAATTTCAAATTAAACAGCTTAACAATGTTTAAGAAAATCTTCCATATAACTCCGTTGTTGTATTCATTCACGTGACAAAAATTTCACTGTGAAACAGGAAAATCATTCTTTGATTTGTCAAAGGTAGTAGCAAAAAAGAGAGAAGAAGGCATAATTTCACAAGAAACATACGGTAAGTAAAATAATTCATTTTTTGTAGGGTTTTGAGTTAATATTTCACATTTACAAAGTAAGCATTTCGATAAAAGAAGAAATGCAAGTCTAGATAAATCTAATGAAAGGTAGAAAATCAATTAAAATCATTTCTCTATCTTCGTTCATCCTTCTTGATATTACAAAATATTATACTATAAAGCAGTGGTCATTATAATAATATAGGATATCCCTTGATTTGTTGAAGGATATGCTTTTTACCAAAGAGGTGTGTGTTTTTTATCCCCGAGCTTTAATGAAGGGATAAAAACTCTTTTTATCCCATGTTTAATGCTTTACAACCGATGTATTTAACTGTTTACATGAAGGCCTCCGATTTGTTTTACTTCATCACGCTAACGCAAAAACTATTGTGACGTCATGATTGCACTTAACTGTGGGATATCAAAAATCTATCCAGTGAATCATATCCACGGGATAAAGGGTTAAACATGACATAAAAAATTAGAAAGAAAACAATGTGTCTTGCTTAACGTCCCTTTCGACAATTTTCATTCATATGGAGAAGCCACTTCCGCCGGCGAAGAACTACAAATTTTGACTTAAACGGGCCATTGAGCAGCGATGGATCATTTTCGTGCCAGTACCTTCTGTGAGACGGGACCTCGGTTTACAAGGCATAATCCGAAGGACCCATCTGTACGTCCAACAGTGGGATCTGCGACGTATAAGGATTGAGCCTTGACTTCGCTACTCTTCAGCAGACGCTATATCCACTGCGCCACACTGACTACAATACAAATTTGTAAACAGGACATAAAAACGGACCTTCGAAATTCGACAGGTGGAGCCAGTTGCCTAGGAAAGAAGAGCTTCAACTTTCGACGAGTCACACCTGTTTCAAGCAAAGTGTAATGATCTAGTAGACGGAAACCCCGGTTGTCATTTCTAGTTATAAAACAAAGCCCCAACGATTTGTATATATCTGTCACTCAAAAGGAGGACTCAATGATATGATCATAAAAAGGACAATATTTATTATAATATTTACTTAAATAAAGTTATTGAAATTTCTTATAACATTATTTTATCTATCAGTATTTTTTCTCTATTCAATTGATATCAATTAATTAATTACAGTGGACCTTCAGAAATCCGGACGCTTCAGTATGCAGACGATGTTTCATGGGAACGCAATTATTTAATGTTGTTTTGTCTTGTTTAACTGGTAATTCAGGTGTTTGGACACTAAACATATCCGGACAAATTGACTAGGACCAAATCGTCCGGAGAAATGAGGCACAACTGTAATAGTTTCATACTCTTGATTAATAAATAGGTTTGGAGACATAAGCACCACATGCATGTGGTAAATAAATGTTACTACATACAATGTAAAAAAAGAAAATTGACCTTTTAAAAGCTGAAGTCATCTGGTTTATTCATACAGTTTAGCTCAGTTCTGTTTGCCATTATAATCACTACAACACCGATATATAAAAATATAGGTTTAGTTACAAGGAAGTACTAAGAAACCCCAAACAAGATTTTTAATAACAGGAAAATATCACTGGGAATTGGAAAAACAGAACTTACTCATTGTTATAAATATCCATCATGAAGTAAATTTTTAAATTTCGTGTTTACGTAACAAATTGATCATGCACAAATAAAACAAATGAGAATTGAATATCCTTTAACGTGGATTAGTTTCCAATACTGTTAATTCCATAATGGATCCGCTTCCTGGATCCCAAGTTTTCATTGGCTGTTCAAAAATAGAATTGATCAAAGTCAGTACACATTGCAAAAAAAGGAAGTCGTGATGTTGATATACACGAAAAAATAACCATTATTTGGATTATTCTGTATATATTTTATGAATTCATGTCTTTCATAACATTTTTAAACATTTCTTTAGTCCAGGTAAGTATTGCTAAGAAGCTGATCAGATCATTTACTTAAATTAAGTGTGGGAGTGAATCACACCTGTGCTTGCACAATTAAAAAGATCCTAAGGATTTTTAAATGTCTCCCCTAGCTTACATATTATTGCAGTTTAATGATTTCCTGGCCGTTTATCTGTACAAGTAGATCATTGCACAAAAAATACACAAACGATGAAAGCAGGGAGGTTCTGAAGTTTAGTTTAAAACCGTCAAAATCAACGTAACATAGATCATTTGTGAACACAGTGCGTTA